GCTGGGAACACCTTCCTTTCTTTTCTCTCCTTTTTCTCGTCTCTCCCTACCCCTCCCTCTTGTCGGCACCTTAGCTTGGGATGCTACTAGGGGCTCCTGGCCTTCCTACTAGGTGTTCGCTACTAGAGGTTCCTGGCCTTTCCACTACTTGGGGACGAAGAGTCTCACACCACCTATGGCGCGGAGCTTAAAATCTTGCCTCCCCTCGGGGAGGCGTGTGTGTGTAACCCTTGGAATCATAGGGATCCTTTCGGATTGTTTTAGCTTCACAGTTGTTTTCCTTGTGTAGCAGGGGCGTGTGGCACTCTCGTCCTACCACACGCAACGAAGCTGTGGGCGAGAGTGGGAAGGGAAACTTGGCCAGTTTCCTGTACCTGCTGTGATAATTACTCCAATCTCCGGGCCTTGCTTGTACCTAAAACAAGAAATCCAGCCTTTGCACCGGTTTGCTCTCGGCAGTCACGCATAGGGCTTTGGTTTCGGACGACGTCACTCTGTCGCTCGGCCGTTCGACGGTTCCTTTAGAGTTGATGGCCACGCTGAACTTGATGGACCTCCACTTCCTTTTCAGGTTTCCTTACCTGTATATACTCTTAGGAATTGGTAACCTAGGCCGGCGTGTGGCACCGCTTTCAGTTCAGTACACCCTATCCTAAGTGTGTGTCACACACATTGTGGTCCTCCCGTCCCTGCGCGCCTGGGTAGGGTCCCGGCCCGGCGGTCACCGGAGTCTCTTCGGCAAAGAGTTCTAATTCTTTGTCCTCAGGGCTCAGGAGCGATGCTACTAGGAGCAAAGGACATCGCTACTAGGAACAAGGGCCTTGCTACTAGGAACAAGAAGCTACTAGAAACAATAAATAGAATTAGAATCAAATTAAAATTAGTAGTAAAGGACGCTACTAGAGGGGCTCAGGACCGATGCTCCATGTCGGGCTGGGCCAGTGGTTCGTGCAAGGGTTCGCACACGCCACTGGAACGATCAGGTTGGCACACTCCACCCCGGCGACATCCATCGTGGATCACCAATGGGCGCGAGTCAAACAGCGTGAAGGTCGCTGGCAAGCCTACGTGTCCAATTTCTTAGGTCTGTGACCTAAATCCAAAGCAATAGAAGCCCAATCGGGATCCAGAATCCACATCAAGGACGGTAGTGGGGGCTCCTGGCATCGCTACGAACGGAGCGATCGGACGCTGTTTTGGACCAATCGGATCTCCACCTCCTTCCACCTCGTCCACCTCCTTCCACCCGAGGGTCAATCGCTGCGCTCACGCGGCCCGAGACTGCACGGTAGTCCCAGGCCACCGACACGCCCACCACGGCGCTGCCCGTGGCCGAGCGGACCTCTGCGAATGAAAGAGAGCTCCGAGCTTCGAAGCTCCGAAGAGCGAAGGAAGAGAGTGAAGAAATCGATCCAAACAGCGTGATTAGGAAGTGATTTTGGTCCATCTGGCCATCTATTTGGGGCGAGGCAAAACATATTTATGTATATATATATATAGACCACCGACCACAAGTTTGCGGAGACTACAAACGGCTTCTTCGAGGTCGAAGGACTGTTTCTGGGTCATATCGTCTTCGACCGTTTCCCATCACCAAGGTCAGTCTAGGTGCCTTCTCCTTCAACATCTCCTGCGGCGCGGAGAAGAAGAAGCTAAGGTTCCCACAACCAATCTGATTTGGCCACAAGGACCCTAGTAGTAGCCCCTGGCCTTACTACTAGTAACGAACGGAACAAAGGGTATCGCTACTAGGAGCAAGGACGCTTCTGAGGTTGGAGGCCACCAACCGTCTTTCGAGCCACGGGCCACTCGTGTCAAATGCGCATGTACTGTTTTTGCAGCTTCTCTTTAGAAAAGCAAAAACATGTCCAACAAACAATCTTATTCCCTTCCCATGGTTGAATAGACGACGCCTTTTCCAAACACCACATGTTCACACAGTCAAATGCCTTGACCCACCGGACTCGCCTCGACCCGTTCGGAACCGTTGAAGCTTGGCAGCCCATCCAAACGCGCCACGAAGTCCGCCATGCTGTTGTAGGTGCTGTCTGCCTCAGGGTGGCATGGGCAAACGGCGGGTATACCACTGCTGGATTTTGTGAAGCAACTGGGCCAAAAGAAAGAGACGCTTTGGTTTGTGGTGTTTGGAGGTGAAACCTGTACCTGGAGATGATAGAAGGGCGTAACGCCGAAAAACCGTCACGGAAGGAAATTGACCGATCTGCTCATCTTTGAAAGGTGACCAATCCTTCTCAGGGACGGTCGTTTATCTTCAACAACTAGGAACAAATGGTTTGTGCTTCACGGTTCTAAGCGCCTCCAGCGTCTGTAAAGCACACCAAAGGAAACTGATCGAACTGAGAGGGGTGAAAAAGAACCGCATTGTTGACCACTAGTCAATGGCCTCAATGCTCATTCGGTTCTCCGGCGCACTCCGACTTACTGCGAAAACAACCTTTTTCGTAACGAAGCAACGGTGCGAAGAAACCAAAACGGGATCATCGAATTGGCCTCACTTTCAGCTCCCTTGGCCCTTGTTGGCCCTTGGCCCGACTATCCTGGGACTCCCGGACATCAGCCCTCAACTTCGCTGCCAAGATTGCATAGATCGCCTCGACTCCAACCAACGACCCGATGAAGAACTCGTTCGGAAACGTGGTGCCAAGTGGGCCCAAAAAGCGTCGTTGACCATGTTTCTCTAAGAAGGCTTCGCTCAAATGCTCTCGGGAAGAATAGAAAAGCAGATCAGTTACCACTACAAATCATGGAATCCGTCATGTCTTGAAGAACCAATCGCAAACAGGTTTTGTTGAAAGCATGCTCTACCTAACTCCAGGATGAAGAAAAATTGCGCAAGTGGATGCTACATCCCTTTTTGGGCCTTCAAGCTTCCCTTGGTCTGAGACCACAAACTGTATGGCACATCCCTACGAACTTCCCGTTTCACCCGTCTCCGTTCCCAGCGGCGGCTCCGAGGACGGAGAAGACATAGGCGATGATGAGCCAGGCAACCTGCCATGGACGAGCCGGGCGCATCCTTTTGGGCGTGAGGGAACCCGTGAACGGTTGCCCTCGTTGATGTTCGGCCAACAAAATTGTTGGGAATGAGGGCCCCCTGAGAGGTGATCTGCCGTGTCGATTAGCTACACCTGTACTGTTATTGATGAAAGATTCTGCACTGCTGAGATATGTCATATCCCAGTATCAGCAGGTATCGGCGGGGTATTGTACCTTGAATTTGCAGGTCATTTTTGAGACTCCAAAGTGGTCCGCAGCCCATTCCCAAGTCTTTCTCTGCGCCTTGGTCCACAGCAGATCCAGTTGTCGGTCACGCCCCCATTTCACCACTGCGCAAAGCACTTGAGGCGACTTGGCCTCCCGGTTACCTGAGTGAACGACTGAGAGGTTGCAATATCTCAAAACCGATCGGAAAGATCCAAACCTTCTTTGACCTCAATAAGATTGGCTAAAAAGTCAACCTAGTAGCGATGGCCTCCAACCTACTAGTGATGGCCTCCAACCTAATAGCGATGGCCTCCAACCTAATAGCGATGGCCTCCAACCTACTAGTGATGGCCTCAAACCTAATAGCGATGGCTTCCAACCTAATAGCGATGGCCTCCAACCTACTAGTGATGGCCTCCAACCTAGTAGCT